CCCCCCCCCCCCGACGATGTAGGTATACAACGGGCAGTGGTTCTCCTCGCACGTAGGCGCTCATGACTGAAGATGTTGTAGACTTGCGGACAAACAGGGGTGGGCTTACCTCCCGCGCACTTTTCCCGTCTAGCGTGGCCTGCCCAGCAAGCCGGATCGATCTGCAGCACCTCCGTGGATCAGTGGGGGCGTCGCTCAACCTTGCCTTAGCCGATGAAGGCAGTCAAATCTTCCAGAGTTCTCAACAACTGACGGAGACGTACCCGTAGCAAGAGGTGAAAACGTGACTTCGTCGAATCGAAAAAAAGAAAGCGACGGTTTCTTTTGGTTCTCCTCGCGAACCCCTTTTGTGTTCCGTTTACTGAGCAGGCAGGATTTTGTGCAGGTACCTGATATGCATACACTGCATAGCAGCTGAAGCAGTAGGTCGGATGGGCGAGCGGATGCGGCAGTAAAAAGGTATCTCCAAGCCATTGATCTAGCACCAGCCCTATCAATCAGCTTCAGGACCAGCACGAGACCTCGTTACATTGCAGGCTGCATGCTAGCCGCCCCCCCGGCCTCCTCGGTACGTACTTCAGCGGCAATTTTCCTCAAATTGTACAGCAAGCACGTTCATCAACCTGGCAGGTACGTTGTAAGCCGATGTCGACGGGGTATTGTACAGAAAGACACGCGTTGTATTCAATGGCTGCCCATGGTAGTAAGCCCCTGAGCACCTCCAAATCGCATCGTGCAAGGACTCACGCTACGTTGGCGATGGTGACGGCAAGGGTCAGGCAACACTTCCAGCGAAACGGGCCAATATTAATATGGTTCTTGCCTGCGTTCCGATTGGGAAGAATTACAGCATCAGACGACCGTGATAACGAGCCTTGTATTCCCGATCAAGTCAAACAACAGCGTGGCCGCCATCACCAGAAGCAACTGCCGCCGAGTGTCTAGTGGTGTGCTGAAACAATAGTTGAATAACGGTGTTCCGGAGGTGTGCGAGGGCGTCGGGTAACACGCGACGAAAAATAGAGTCACCGTCGTGCTTGAAGCCCAGTTACTGCAGTAGCGCCCGCATGGACATTTCAGGGGATCGACGGTGCACCTCATCTGCGAAAAGCCGGGTCCGTTCTAAACGCGTATCTGCAAAAGTCCCTTTGGTTGTCGGAGATAATTTCTTCCGTTCAAACTACGAGGTTTACAGGTATCCCATGCACACAATACTGCTTCTGCTGTAGTTTTGGAGTTTCGTGCGAAGAATTAATTGCTGTACAAACATGGAGGACTCCCAACTATATTTTGTTTCACCGAGGGTCAGGCAGATTTTTCCGCCGATCTGTGTTCGACAGCGGTGGTTGAGGCTGGATCCTCCAAGCAGGAAACACTCCGTGCTGTTCAGCGGGAGTCCGGATAGTTGAAAATGTGTCGTCAATACGTGTGCTTGCAGTCCTGCTGAATATGCAGCGGTCGGAAATTCCAAGAGTACTCGTGTGTCTCGTTCAGCCGGGGTTGGAAACACTCAGTACATCATCAACTAAACTAAACCGCGTTGCCGGGGTCAGGCGTTTGACCCGACGCCACTCATCGGTTTCTCATTTCTTCTTTATGTCGAGCACTAATGACGTACTGCTGTCGTGGACACGATACCTACCTGATCTGTTCGGGCGGGTGCCTTGTGCAATTCCCGACGCCAAGAAAAAGGCCGGAAATAGAAAAAACGTACCGGTGTGCTTTTTGAAGCCTGTACTGAAGCCGACACCTGTTCTTGGTCTATTTGGATAACGAAAACGAGGCGTGAGCTCTGGCCAGGAGGTTTTTTTCGGTAATATCTTCGTGAAACTCAATCGAACCAGATGGGCTGGCTGTGCCGATAGTGCTCACCTTGGCTCTGGTCGATCTGCAAGAAGCCCAAAGTGAAGCGGTTGCTTCACGGGGTCGGCGGCGGAGTTGGGACTCCATGCTCAGCGGAACGATCCCAGAGTACTTACCTAGCATGTTCTTCATCATAATGAGCCGTGGAGTGCGAAGCGTGACGATTCTTTTCCCTCCGTCCGAGGAGGGATAGGCTCTATCTATGTGTCAGGGGCCCAAGTTTCAATCAACGGCCGCCTGAATTTTCCATATTGATCGATCAGCACGAGGTCTATAGAGCGCCTATTGACGATCTGCTGGCTTGTGAGGAACAAGAAAAATAGGGTACTCTTCACCACACCGGTTTGGTCGTGTTCCAACAGCAGATAGCCGTGCTTCGCCGGCATTCAAAAACCATAGGAGATTCTCACCCCGATCCCCGCGGAGTTGTAGAGGAAGTGTAAGCCAAGGCATCGTAGATCTCCCACCCAGACACGCAAACGCGGTTGCTTGGTTCACACCAGGAGAAACAGAAGAAGTACTCAGCGAAACACGTAGCAATGCCGGGATTGCCAAGACAGCACTGGCGGGGGAAAGGGGGCCATACACAGAGCTATAGTAGTGGCGGATGCCATTGTCATTGCTGTTGCTTGGTGTGGGAGGAGGGATCATCAGTAAAATCCCAACCTTGGCCTCGGAATAAAAAATACGAACTGATCTCAGCAGACGCGGCGTTTTTTTTCGGGCTGTCACACACTCTACTATCGCACATTCTGAGAGTCCTAGATCCTCCTGGTCTGTGTCAATCGCCATACAAGACGGAGCATGGACACAGCTCGTGGCGGATACCTTTGTTATTGCTGTTGCTTCGGTGTGCGGGGAGGGGTAACCTTGAAACAATACGCTGTGCTTTGAGAACAAAATGCTCAAGAAGAAGAGCCTTCTTTTCTGGCGGGATGCTTTATCTCGCATGCATGCACTGCTGTGCCGCCTCTCGCCGCCTCCAATTTCCGTGGGTCCTATGACCCCGTCGCATCTATCAGCCACCACACACGACGTGGCCTAAGTACAGGTCGCGGGGAATAGCTTTCCAAGTTCTGATGCGACCCTCTGTGCAGAGATATCAACGAAAGACCACATCGATATGGAAAGCACGTATGGTACACAGGTCTACCGTCGGTGATATAAGATAACACACCCCCTGTTTTTATGCTCCATATGGTCCGTTCGGGCAAATATTCACAATCTTGTTTTTCGCCATATCTTTCGAAAAAAAACGATTTGGAAAGTGAAACAACTTTGGGCGTGACCGCGGCGTCGAGCTTCGTCGATATCCGATGAGTTTTTGGTGATTGGGTGAAATGCGACATTTTTGGCCAAAATGACCCACGGAGCCCCCACCCCCCACCCCCTCATGACCCCACGGAGCCCCCAAAGTACACCACGACCCCCCCTCAACCCCTCCCTTCTACACGTATATGCCTTCAGAACATCAGTTAAACCGTTGCCAATCCATATTTACATTATTTACACGTTACATATGTACATACATACATACAATACCGCCGTTTACTTTCTACTCAACCCCTGGCTGGTGAAGGTGCTGCAAACAAAGCATGCAGCAATCACATCCGTTCTCTCTAAGCAAGTCCGATACCAAGAGAGACAGCTATAGCGTTGAGTTGGTGACCATGACGAACGCCTCTACCGCGCCTAAACGCGAGAAACCAACACTACAACACACCGCGACATATAGATACGTACCCTACCCACTCACGCCTGAGCGTGCCCGCCCAACCATTTCCTCAAAAAATTCATCGTGTTGCGCAAAATCCACAGCCGTAGCTGCTCCTTCCGGGAGGCTCTCTTGCTCGTCCACGTGTTGAAGGCTTCCCTGGTCGCTGCCATCGACTTCTTGCGCACTTCCTGCGCAGCCGCAAGCGCCTTCGCCTCGGCTGCCTTCTTCTGCTCCGCCGTCTTCCCCGCCCCCCTCGCCTGAATCACGGCATCTCCCCTGGCGGTGGCTTCTCGGTGCTTCCCCCACTCCTTGAGATCGCGGTACTCGAGGTAGTCCTCCAGGCCCTCGTCGTAGGCTTCGATGTACAGCCACGTCACCCTGCTCCATGCGCGGATAAACCGTGCGGGTACGCCGCTCAACGCGCCGGGCAAGACCTGGAGCATGTGGCGAAGGGAATACTCGCAGTGGAGGCGGAGGAGGTGCTTGATGTACCCCCAGTATCGCTCGATTGCGTTGAGCTCTGGGTGGTACTTCGGCAAGAAGATGCACAGGTGCCCGTGTGCCTTGAAGAGCTTCTCAACCATGTTGAGCTCCTCCCTGAACGCCTTGAGCTCAGACAGAACGCGCACGACGCAGCAGCGACGCCTCTTGCCTGCTTCACCAGCTGCCCCGCTCCCACCCGAGTCCCCGTCCTCTCCGCCGTCCTCCTCTCCCTGCCCCGTGTTGTCCACCACCTGCTGCCGCCCCTCTCCACCGCGGTTGAAGGCGGTAATGGCTTGCCTTGTTGCCGCCTTTTCCGCCCTGCACGCGCTGCACTCGTGAACGCGTAGGGTTGGCTCGCCTTCCCACAGCCCCATCTCCATGAGCAGCTGCTTTCCTCCTTTCGGCAGGCCGATGAGAACGGCGGTGGGGCCAGTCGTCGTCGTGGTCGTTGGTGTGCATGGGAGAAATATTGGCGCCTTCATGGTCGGAAGAGGGAGGAGAGTCGTTGCCTACAGCAGGGTCCGCAGGGGGCGAAGGGGCCTTCCGAATCGTGCCGTCGGCGTTCCTTGGCAGCTTGCGCTTACCCTTTGGGCGACCCATGTGCCTGGAGCGCGTGTGCGTCTTTCGTTGCGTGCGTAAAGGGTGTGTGTGTGTGTGTCCTCTGGTGTGTGTGTGGCGGGAAAAAATTCCCCGAGGGCGTGTGAAACCACCCGAAACATCTCCGAAACCCAAGTTTTTTTTGAAATCGGAAAAAAATCATCGGTGGGAAATCACGAGAGGAATCGATTACAGCACTTTATTTTTGAATCGTACGGTTGGATTGTCCCCAAGAAACTAAGCAAAATACCCTCCAATATCCGGTTTTTTGCCCATAACTCCGTTATTTTTTGTCAAATTGGAAATCGGAAAAAAATCATCGGTGGCAAATCACGAGAGCTGTCCAAATCCGGTCTCAGATTTTGTGTCTGCAAAAAACACCGCCCTCCAGAAAGTAAGCAAGATTTCTTGAATATCTGAACATATCGAGCGAAGGACGAAAAACAAAAAAAATCTCCGTACGAAGATGCGCCTTGAAACGTCGATCTAAGCGGTATTTTTCAGATTTCGGAATAAGTACCCCCACCCCGAGAAAAGTGCACCTTTGTGCAGGGGAAAATATTGTGAATATTTGCCCGAACGGACCATAGAATATTCCACGACGAAGAGGATGCAAAAAGCCTGCGATACATTGTCGGAAATCTCTCGACGAAACGGTTCCCACACCACCATTTTCGGCATCGCCACTCTTTGTGCTGTGGGGCAACCGAGCTTTGGAAGTTGGTCCAGGGTGTGGTATCTTGTGTCATTTACGGTATGCTGCTATTGTATGCGCACGAATCCCAACGGCCGTCCGTTCGTTGCAGAGGGGAGAGTGCCTCCTTTTTTTTTTGTTGTTGTGGATGATGACTCGGATTCAAACTCAACGATCGGATGCGCTCGCCACCGCAAAAGCATCGCACATTGACTATTGCAAGGTATTGAGTCGGCTACCCCGCGGCTCAGTACCCCGCCCTTTCTAGTACTTGTACCGCAAAACTTGACAAGACACGACCTTTGTGAATGCTGCCATCCTGTTCGTATAATTTCAGCGCGGTCGAGCTCCACCTACCCAGAACCAAGTTACGGTGCCAAACGAAACACCGCCGGGTGCAACGACCGCTCCGGCAGGCTAGCGCTACGACAAAATGGTGGTACCCGGCGACACAGACCACGAGGGATGCGCGCACGATGCCTTCGTCAACTTCGGCAGTCGGATAGCGAATAATGCTTCCATCGGTGAGGCCTAAACGAGAAATTCAGACGTATCGGCGGCCCGAAATCCTTCCCGTGAACGTAATCGAAAAATTTAACCATACGTGAATTTCGTCTTCTGCTGTGTGCGTTGGCACGAAGTGTATCGTCAACGTTTGCCTCGCCTTGAATCTCGTCTGAGAGGCGCTCACGCCTCATTTACCCGTGCTTCTCGCGTGATGGCTCTGCAGGCGTCTCCATCGTTGCACAAGAAGACACCAGGGATCCGTCGAGTTATCCCACTCCCTCCCCTTCTTCGTCATCAGGCACCCCGCAGAGTACGCTGTGCCTAGCGGCTCTCCGCATTTACCTTCTCAACGAACAAAGCCACCGCCTAACCGCCTCGAAACGGCTGGAGTCTTCCTTGAACCTCAGCGCAGCTTCCTTGCAGACGTGTCGGCTGTGCCGAGAGACGGCATCGTTCCAACTCCGGGTTGACGACCGCACGCCCCGGGGCGTGTGGGAGCCTAGGGGAGAAAAGCCCGGTAGTTACACAAACCGACGAGAACCTCCGCCCGGTGCACGTCCACGCGCTCGTAATGCTCGTCCGTCCGGTTCAAGGGCCTCAAGAACCCGGCGGACGGCTCCACCCTGCTCGAAGAGGTCGGCGATGGGCACCACCGGTCGTGTGCCGTCGATGAAAATATCCAAGGTATCATGGGCAGCAGACGTTTCCAGAGCACCCCGCTTAGTTCGCCATCGCGTTGAGCATGGCCTCGAATACGGCGAACGAGTTGGCCTTGTTCATGCATCATGCCTCCAGCGTGAAAAACGCATTAAACGCTATTGCTGTCAGTGGGCCGCAAAACCTCCTGCCTGAGAACTAGTGTCGCCTACATAGGTGGAACGTGACCTTGCATGCATCTTCATGTTGTGCTTGGTTATCGCAGGTATCGTGGGAGACGTCTTCTCCGGCTGAGCTTTTTTTCACCCCGGACAATGCGGGGGCACTCCATTGGCTAATCGAGGTTAGGTTTGGGGAGAGCGTCAGCGTCAGCGTGGGCGGCATCGTCTGGCCGGCCAACCTCCGACGACTAGCAATAAAACCGTCGTTTGAGATTCGCGACATGGCGTGGCCGGTTCGGCTCGAACAGCTGGCGCTTGAAGGGCGCTTCGACCAGCCGATCAACGAAGTAGAGTGGCCAGAATCGCTGCAAGAGCTAACCTTCGGCTACCATTTCAACCACCCGATCGATAACATCGGCGAGAAGGCGACAGGCCTTCGGGAGCTCACGCTGGGGTGGAATTTCGATCAGAGCCTGGTTGGAGTAACGTTGCCGAAGAGCCTTGAGGTCCTTACCATTGCTGGGGTGTACAACCGACCCCTGGATGGGGTGAAGTTGCCGTCACTGCTCAGGAGCCTGACTGTTGGAGGCCTCTTTGATCTCCCGCTAGTCTCCGCCCGTCTTCCCGAACGGCTCGAGAGCCTCCGACTCGGATGGGCGTTTAACCAGCCGCTGTTGGCTTCTTGGCCGCCGAACCTGAAGACCCTTGCTCTCGGCTACCGCTTCAACCAACCGGTGGAGAGCGTCAGGCTCCCGCCGAGTCTTGAAGAGTTCGAGCTCGGAGTGTTCTCTCGGCAGCCCCTGAAGGGGCTTGCGTGGCCGGCTTCACTCAAGACCCTCACGGTGGGTCGTGCGTTCGATCTCACCGGGGTTGTTTTGCCGGGGGGTGCTCGCGTATGCCGCAGTGGGCACACGGCGTATCAGGTGCAGCGCGGGGCCAAGAGGTAGTTGCCCGAACCTGCTGTTTCGAAGTATGCCCCAAGGGCCTCAAATTTTGTACATATAATTGATTCTGCGTGGTGGGTTGTACGTCGTCTGGCTTCCAATGGAAGCAGCGGAAGCGCGGCTGAGCCGTCGGCGTATATTCCTTCGAGATACTGCTGTGCATATTAACTTATCTCGTGCTTCTTGTGTATGCCTTTTCCACCCACGCCATGCGTGTAAACTCCCGACACTGCTGTGCTTGGATCCATTGTTTGGGCAGCAGCTGTGACGCAACGATAGTTGGCTGTGGACCGCAGAGGGAAAGCTTGTCCTTACTGTCGATAGAGGTGCCGATTCCAAAAGTATCCGCGTTACTTGCTACTTGCATCAAGCGAATTATGTTTATGGACAGTAAGTCTTCGATGGCGAACGCTGCGCTCTCGCTGGTCCGATCGACGGTTGGTTGCGGGCATCGCTGCCTGTTCTTTTTTCCAGTTTGGTCGTGACCCGCAGTTCATCGCGTTGTTGATGGATGTACCGAAGTTTATTGAACGCTGGGATATATTTTTCCTTATGGTTGCCGTTGTCTCCATTCGAGCGATGAATATATGCGTTCTTTTGTGGCGGGTATATTGAACTGGTCGACGTAGAATGCACCCGCCGGGGGCTTCTACTCCATTTTGAGTTGTTCGCATTCGTACATTTCCTTTTCCGAGATGTATTCTGGTTTGTGCCCTGACGGGGGACTTGGTTTTTGCACCCAAAACTCCGGATAGAACGATGTCAAGGTCCCGGGGAGCTACCTTTTTTGCTGCAAGAGGAAAATACCCGTTGGTATAGACTACATTAAAGACTACCCGTTCGAGATGTAACCACAGCAGTCGAAGGGGATGGGATGAAGTCTTTTCAGTGAGCGGGGGGAAAATCTGCTGGAACTGGGCTTATTATTGAGTCTATTTGTTAGGCCTACATTAGGCCTACACTGAATATGTGATGCCAGCTGTTCCTACAAGGACACATGATTTTGCCCACTGGGAAGATTGTATGTGCACTACATATCTACATGTTCTGGACTTTTCTACAGTCCATGCAGAATAGGAACTGCTGTGGAGCCCCCGTCCCCATATTGCACTATTTACTTGGTCATCACCACCTTCGAGCACAGGTATTCGCACAAGATGCAGTGTAGGAGCGCCCTACCCACCCACCCCAACGGCCAGCCTACGCCTTCCACCCCGAGTTGGCTGCTTTGATGAGATTCGCCCACAAATATTTTTTTCAGAAATATCATTGTTGGAGGCGTTTCAGAACCAGTTCGATTTCGCGAACCCCCCTGTGGCGTCACGAGTTGCACTACAGACCACAGCAGCAGTACAGCAGTAGAGGGGCTCTGCTTCTCCGAGGGGGTGCACAGGGAACAAGATCACCTTGGTGCTCCTGGGTTCCGTGCCGCCACGCTTCACATGAGGCACTAGCGTTGCTGGTTGCATTTTGTCTTCTAGGCGCGCGCTCCAGGTGAGCTACAATTTCGCGTGAAGCCTTACAAAGAGCTTGCAGAGTCTGCCCAACCTCGCAGCTGCGCCCACAACCTGGGAGTGCTTGGTTGCCCCTCCAGACTGCAGGAAATGCGAAAGGGGTACGTGGGTGCCCTCTCGGAAATGGTTGAGAATTCAGAGTGCACTGTGAGCCATGACTGGGTGAACACGCACAGGGTTCATTATGGTAAGCAGCAGTAGACGGCGAACAAATGGTCTACACCGCTGTCCGTTATGTACATTAGAGTGCCCACGGCGGGCGGGTGCAATGACCCATGACACTCTACGTAGCTGCTGGGCTCTGCTCCTTCCAGCAAAGGGGACACCTCTTGCGCAACGCCCCTGTGGGACACGACGCGTATTATTTTCAACGAGAGTGGGATTCGTGTTTGTTTGGAAAGGATATCATATTCGTGACGCGGCGGTGTCGTCGGAGTTATGTGAAAGTGATGGCGCCGCTGACAGAATCCTCCGCTACACATCCCAGAGGGCAAAACTTGAGCACTCGCCAAAACCGTTCCAAACCAGTCATTGGTGTTACAAGCGAGGTGCAGCGAACAACAGAGACAGCGTTGTAGAAGCACCGCATCCTATGTGTTCCCCCCGCATGGGATATACATATATACATGAAAAAAGAAAAAACAAGAACGTACAAGGACGTACAGGCACGTGGCGACGTTACGCGGCCAATGAGCTGCATGCAGGCCACGACATCTATTTGGTATCTTGACTACAAGCAGTACTTTATACTGCTGTACATGCACTACATGTATGGAAGAAATGGGGACATCATCGAACAGCAACGCCTGTAGTTTGTGTTCTTGTGATTGATGGACATGTGTGCACTGATGGGCCCAAGTGTGTGGGAAGATTTGGCACATGACGCATAGTGAGATGCTGCTGTTCCGTGGTGAAATCAATAAGGCGGACGGAGTCCAAAGGAGGAGCACAAGCCCCTGTCTTGTATGTTCGTATTTCTTATCTATGTGCGGCATGTATTGTACTTTCGCGTTCTCCTGACAATGGTACAGCAGTACCGAAGGTGACGTGAGACATCACACCCACCTCGTGGACCGATGTGCCAAGCTCCATTGCTCCATGACGAAGATAATGTTTAGCGTTCAAAGCACACGATACGTTTTCGGACAGCTCTCGACGAGACGGTTCCAACGCCTCCGTTGTTGGCACCACCACTACTTGTGCTGTGGAGTAAATAAGCTTTGAAAATCGGCCCATGGGGTATGATACCTTATAGTCGGAGTGCATTGTATTGCTTGTTAAAGAGGGACGATATTGGGTTGGAAGTAGACTACTTTTAAGAGTCTGGTGCGGCAACTTGTGGCCTATTTGGAATGAGACGGTTGCCCTATCCAAGTCTTCTCGCTGTGCTCAACGTGTTCAGAAGTTGATCGTACTCGCATTGTTTGTTATTGCGATTCGGGACTAGATTGTGCACCGTACGGCATGTCTGAAAAACGTGGGAAGAGGGTAGGCCCTGCCATAACCAACAGAACGCCCCTCCACCCCCCTCCAGGATAGGGCTATCACACTTCGTGCGCATTCACTCCAGAGCAAACTGCGCGACCCCTAAGAACAAGCACAATAAGGGGTTCAACGGAACTGCTGTGGGAGTCATCCTGGACAGCAGACGATTCGATTTTTTTTCAATAATTATTCTACGGGATTGCGTCGCGCGAGAACACAAGTACCACGGGCGATTCTACGTGCAGTAGCTGATGTCCCATCTGTAACGTGCCTGTTACCAGATAGATCACCGTGTAGGCAGGCGATGTCCTTGTGCAGCGGTGCAAGGGCATGTGGAAAACTCTAAGAAATCTCCCAATAGCAGGACAAGCGGATAGGATCTAGCTGGCTCCAAGTCTTTTGTCCATTGGCGGCGCACCACGACTGATGACGTTGATCGCGTCAGCCCCATGACACATAATCCCGTTCCGAACCGTTTTCCGTGATTCCCGTTCTTGCCGCCAGGCTATGGTGGAGAGGGGGTCGCCTGGACTTGTCGACGAGGTCACACCGTGTGCCGGACAGCATGAACAACAGGCGTTCCAGGCCCTCTCTCTAGGCCCCGCTGATGTTAAAGGTGTGATTTTTTCAACATTTTGAGTCGAGGTAACCTGCGACGCATCACGTAGAGTCTCGAAGAGGTTCGCGGATTCACCAGAACTTCGCTCACACCCAGGTGCAAACAACATCCCCATGACTGCTGCCACGGGTACGCATCGAGGAATCCAACTACTGACAGTACGAGTCGTACCTAAGTGAGTGCAGCTTATCTTGGTTGCTTCTGCACATGGCCACTACATGACCATCTTCGCGAACCCCGGCTGTATATTCCATCGAGTAGGTCATGCGCAGAGTGTTCAATCCGTTTCCTATCTCTTGCCCCCATCCCAGCATGTGTAGAACCCCGCCTATGCTCTACCCGAAGTTCAGCCACTCGCTTGAATCTTCTCACTCTGTGTGAACCCCAGGCCAGGACTCCTCTTCCCCTGCAGCCCCCCTCGACGGCGAGACCGGCCCCCTCCCTGCTCAAGGCACAAGCCTAGCGGCCGCCGCCCTGCACGTCGTGCTCCAGCACGACCTCAGCGTCGACCGCCGCGGCGCCCCGCACCCGGACCGGCGGCGCTTCATCGCGACCACGCAAGAGCTGCAGCTCGTGTCAGTCTGGCTGAGCCAGACCTGCCGAACGGTGGCGGGATGCCACGCGAGGATCGCTCGCGGAACGCCCCGTAGGCTGTGGTGCCCGCTGTCTACCAGGAGGATAACCCGGGGCCAGAGGCGCCGGAGCGGGAGCCTGGACGGCTCTCCTCGCCTCCCGCCGAGACGGTTGACCTCGGTTACGTGGGAAAAGACCATCCGGTGAGCAGCGCCGCTGTTGGTTGGCGCCTTCCGAGCCGAAGCAACGGCTGCGCTGATAGCGTTGCGCACGCGCGGTACCCTAACCTCGGCCGATTGCCGCGCGGATCGACGCTACCAAAATACGTACCCTGTTTTCCTTGTGTGTGTTTTTTTATCAACGCCAGGGAGCTCGGCCAGGCGCAAGAGGTACTCTCTGAGCTGGAAAACCTTGAGTGGGGCAGGATGTTCAACGAGAGGCTAGATGCCGTCGTTTGGCCACCGAAAGTCAAGAGGGTAAGAGATGTTTGTCGTGCAGAGGGCAAGGCGCCGCACACATGTCACACCATTCCCTCCTTATCGAAGGGGGGCGGTGGAGCGCAGAAAGGCCGCCACGCCCCCCACCCCCTTCTCAGGTTGGCAACGACCAGACGGCGTGGGGAATGGGGACGAAAACCATCGCCCTTGCTTCTTCGGCTGACGCCACGACCGCGATCCCGAACACCCCTGCCGATAACACCGCTACAAGGGCTTTGTCCTCCTCCTGTGCCCTTGATCACTCGAACGTGTTCTCGTTTCCTTCTGCCTTGACCCGTCAAAATCAGCTGGTGTTCGACAAGCACTTCAACCAGCCTATCGGCCGGGTTCAGTGGCCTCCATTGCTGCAGATCCTCAAGTGAGTGGGACCGCCAACGGTTGGCTGTCCTTTTTGACGCTTGCGTTGTGTGAAAGCCTCTCCAAGAGTTTCTCGCTCTTGTGCCCCCAGCTTAGGCGCGCCAGGATCCTGTGCTACCGCACAGAAGCTTGTATGGCCAGCCAAAAGTGCATAGGCCTGGGTCGCTATGCAGAATATCCTTCCACAGTTGTGTGTCGAGATTTGCGATGAGCCTTCATGGGATGTGTACTCCACGTATTCACAGGTTCGGAGCTTGGTTCAATCAGAGAATAGAAGGAATCACGTGGCCGACATCCTTGAAGCAACTTACCTTGGGGTCTGCGTTTAACCAGCCCATCGCCGGAGCTGTGTGGCCGGAATCGCTGCAGCAGCTGTCGCTAGGAGAAGCCTTCAACCAGGCTATGAACACGACCTGGCCTGCCAAAGGACCGCGTAGCATCATATTTGAGAGGGGTTCACGCTTCAACTGCGACTTGGAGGGGGCAGAATTGCCGGTGGAGCTAGAAGAGCTTACGCTAGCTTGCCACTACAACAACCCGATCGTTTTGGTGAAGTGGCCAGCTTCATTGAGGAAACTCGCCTTCGGCACCAACTTCAACCAACCCATCGAATCAGCCGTGTGGCCAGCCGGTCTCCGAAAGATTTCGTTCGGGTACAGCTTCAACCAACCTATTGAGCAAGTCAAGTGGCCGGAATCCCTCCGGCAGCTATCGTTTGGGTACAGTTTCAACCAGCCGATCGAATCAGCCGTATGGCCGGGTGGTCTGCAGCATATTTCGTTTGGGTACAACTTCAACCAACCCATAGAATCAGCCGTGTGGCCCGCCAGCCTGCAGCAGCTATCGTTGGGGTGTTGCTTCGATCAGCCCGTAAACTGCGTGGCGTGGCCCGCGTCGTTGCAGGAGCTCTGCCTCCGGCGCAGACAGGACAGAGGGCGTGCATGCTCAGGCGTGGATAGCGTGCACGACGGGGGGGCGCGCTTGAGGCAATCACGCAATTAAATTCGCTGAACATCACACAAGGTTGGGTATTGACTCAGCACGATTTGCTCCTGTGTTCCAGAGTTTGTTTTTCAGGCATTTGGTCGGCGTTTTTTTGGACCATCAACGAAGCAAGCTTGCAGGTGTCTTCATCCTGGCCACCAACTGAATTTTCTATTCCGGCCGCTTCGAGAGGGGCGTACATGTATATCGTGATAGGGGTAAATCGACATGGAACGTTGGAAAGCTTTTGTGGGGTCGCCAATGGGCCCGGTTCCCCGGCATGTAGTTAGCGTTCGCAGACATCGGAGGAAGAGGACATGCTTTAATCGAGGTATCGTGGTTTGGTTGGTCGTGTCCTTCAGTGCAAGCAAGACGTGTTTATGCCTGCTCTTCCATAAAATGCCTCGGTCATGTTTTTTTTGATGATCGGATGCTGTTCCGTTTTCGCAACTGGAGGTGTTGGTGAGAATGTTGTATGCCCGTCTTCTGGCGTAGTAGACGGAGAAGGTTTGTTTTTTCTACTGTTTCTGACTCACGGAGAATTCTAGCACCAGAATGTTAATTGCGATTGAATTTTGTGGATATCGGTATGGCTCGTGTCTTGGCGCACCTGGCGTGCTGGTGAAGCCTTGAATTTTGTACAACGAGCCGCTCTTAGGGAACAATACATGTAAGCACTATATTTTTATTAAGTTGCCCAGTCTACAACGGGAGTGCAGAAGTGTCTCGCCTACACCGGAGTCTTTTGTATCATGTGCCCATCACACAGACTATGGCCGTTTGATGGCGGAAGCCACCAAACTCCACCATAGTCTGTGTCGTTCCTCTGTCTTGGGCCTCTATAAAGGCGCAGAAAGACGCGTGTGGAAGAGCATGTCCTTCACCCGACAACGGTTTGGAAACGTGTAAAAAGCTACTCTTGTCAACGTGGGAAACATGACGCCCATCGCGGAGCGTACGAGTACAAAGTTGCATACGCCGATTATGTTTAGGAACAACAGTGGGGGTGTTGCCAGTCGTGGCCGGGGGACTGGCTGGGCGTAGTAGCAAGTGGTTGGTCATGTGGGTTGGAGGAACAGGCCCGGAAAGCAAAATATTCTAGACTCTTTTACATCTGTGGAAGAGATACATTTTGTTGAGTTCTAGTCAGAAAAAAAAATGATGTAGACGGAAAGACGGCGTACCAGAGGAACGCAATGTCGCACCGTTGTGTTGTATGCTACTGCGCGCGGAGGGTAATCGAAGTCGGCGAGGGTCCACGACGCGCGATACCCTGCAAAATGCTTTCTCAAGATATCGCTCGACGTACGCCGTAGATCGAGACCGGTCTGTTGTTAGCTGCCAAGCGGACCCTGAGATTCGATTTTTCCGAATTCGTTCGTAAGATCAAAAAAGCGATGAAAAACAGGCACACGGCGACACGGGGCAAGACGAGACAAAAACAGCGCGCATGGTCGCACATGGCCGCCCACTTGTGGCATACGCTACAGGGTGCGAAAATCGATGGAACTTGTCGAGGGACCATGATTTCTGATGTACTACCGAGGCATAGTCGAGATGTGGCGAGACGTGCGCTTTACGTAAGTCCAAATCGGTTTTCTGAGACACGGTCGGGCAAGGGTGGCGGAATCGGCGTAAAAGGGTCTGCGACAAAAATTAATATAGGTGGGGAGACTGGAGCTTTTAGTCTGTTGGTTTTCTAACGGAGAGCAAGCGAGGGCTGCCCAAAACAAGAGCGAAGAGGGTCTCAAGTCAAGGAACGGTAGCGAGTCCACTACGTTATCCGTTTTGTGTAGGATGAATCCGGACACGGACAGACACGGAGAGGAGATATTTTGGTCTTTGAGCCCATCACGCACGCACTCCCCCGCTTTGTTGGCCCGTGGTTCTTCGGCCGGCCCAAACGACGACGCTTGGGGTAATGTTTTTGGGTTTGAGAAATGTTTCCCACGGCTGGTCCATACCCTCACGCCGTAAACAAACGCAAAAACCGTGGCGTTCTAACACAGAGACAACGGGGCAACATGATGTGCAATTGCCATCCTCCCAAAACCACATCACAGCAGCTCCGTCGTTTAGGAATAAAATACAGATTTACTTAGATGTTCAAATTATCTGGTTAGCAGCTACCGAACTCTTTTGTATGCCAGCTAGTGCCCACCATTCATGTACCACAATAAACTACACGCCCCCTCTCCCGTGCCCCGTATCTAGGAAAAACAATCTCCCCCCCCCCCCCCCCCCCCCCCCCCCCCCCCCCCCCCCCCCCCCCNGCGACGGCCATGTGGAAAATACACAAGAGCGGGCATTCATGCCCAAACATAAACAAGCAGCACGAACAATATCCACGAATCGAGCTGTCAACATGAGATCAGAAAAACAAAAACAAAAATAAAGGAGCCCACGTGATGCGCGACCGCGTGGATGTCGTATCTGTTTTCGATGGCGGGGAGCAAGTTGAGTTGAAAAGCCGCCGCTGTACGAAATCAACGAGGCCCTAATCCCACTACTACTTGCGATCCACCGGCGAGGGCAGAGCGAATCGGCCGTAGCTATGGTGTCGCCAATTCACAGTACCCGTGCCTCTGCAAGCAGGGATGCCTGAACAGCACCAGGTTTACATGTATACTGACTGCTCTTAAAAAGATTCTGACAAGAGAAGCAAAAACAAAACGTGTAAATGCTCAACTCTACCCACAGACCTGGACCCCCACTAATCCATCCGCCATCTCTCCTCTGTGTGTGTGCGCCGTCATGCAAAACAAGCGCAATCAGCCCCTTCCTCAAATACTCGTTTTTTCCTATGCGTCATGTCCACTACCAGGCAACCAAACGCCAGCGTCTAGCACCTCCCCTCCCCGCCGAAAACATCACTGCACTTTCCCTACCCAAAATCGTCTCCACCCTCGTGGACAAATACATCCATCGACCACTGTACACCCGGGGGGTGGAGGGCGGCGTTGATCTCGCCCACCCTCCTCTTCTCTCTCCTCACCAGCCACAACAAGCGGGCGGATATACTCTTCTGGCTGAAAACCTTACCTTACACGGCGCCAAACGACCGGCGAAGTTGGTGACAGCACAACCGCGGCACACCTTGAGGGCTGGTTGCATTGTCTTGTCGCCGTCCGCCCTGGGGGTAATTGAGCTAGCTGCAGCAGCTGTTGGCACCAGCGAAAACACGCACGCACGCGTCTCCTCTGCACAAGCTTCCGCACACGATATACCTGCACCATCTTCCACGCTCCCTGAATAGCCCTCAACACACAGCACACGCCCGATTCACGGCACGGGGGCGTTGTACTCCTCCTTCGCTCCCCTCTCGTGATCGTGACAGCAGGCCTTTGTCGTCCTCTACCCCGCCCGCTCCACGCCGCCGACGCAATGCGTAGGAGCGTATACCACGCGGAGCCCCCCCCCCAAAAAAACTACAACCTCGACAGCTCAAGCAACAGCAGGTGCCTCGCCGGCCGGGGAAGCAGCGAAGAGTCAACGTAACGTAACTCCTCTCTCTAGGTGCGGCCCTCGCCAGCCCTCCCCCCTTATCGCGCAATGTACTCATCATGGCAGTCCCCTTCAGTACGACCAAGTTTCCCTGTACGCGCAGGAAGCGCGCGGGGGGGAGAGGGGCGGCGGTTAGGCAGGTGGACCACACCAGGGCCGTGGGCAAGACAGCTGAGCCTGCCAGGGCAAGGGTTCCGCCGAACTTTTGGAGTCATCACCTTGAGCGCTGCTGTGCGAGCGCGATACAGAGCCTTGTGTGCGGTCGCGATACAGAGCGTGACCGAGGAAGGACGGGTACTGTAACTGTGCGCGCACATAAGAACAGAGCTGCCACTGCCGGGCAGACGCGACAGACGCGAGACCGGCAAGACTGCACGTATTCTATCCAGCAAAAGAACACAAACAGTATGGATTCATTGCTAATATACCCCGGACACACCGTACGCACCCAAGCGGAGTAAATGACCGCATCTTTCACCAAGGCTGCCCGGAACGAACATGGATGCATTCGGCTATACAAAACCCGATCACCCGTTGGGGGTCCTGTCAGCATAAGCTGCTATGGACACGATGGTCACATCATGATGTTGCCTACAGGCACGACGGGACGCACAGACGGGCCGATGTTTGTGTGCCTTACTGCTGTTGCAGCACAGATCCACGATTCTCGTGACAGGCGTCGCTACAGCTACAGTGGTCGTTCTCGATGCGCGCCCACTCACAATCCGATCGCATATCGCACGACTGAAAATTCAGCCAACTAAGCTCAACTTACGAGCAGCAGTCGCAAGTAGGTCGACGAGCCCTCGGCCACTGAACATACCGTGGTCGTTACGATTGTCGCACGAAAAATGAACTGGTCACTCACCGTCCGGTATCGAGAGGCCAGGCCGCCCCCGCTGCCCCGTGGTTGGGACCCGCAGCGGTAGCAGCGGCGGCAGCGGCAGCAGGTGTAGCCGCCGGTGGGGCTCCTCCTCCTCCTCCTCCTCCCCCTCGGAAGCTTCCGCCCAGCGACGTCAAGCCGCTCTGTCTTCGGTCGATACCGACCTCGAAACCGTCTCGTTCTCGCGACGACTCCTGCTGCGGACACACACGGTTGTTGTTGGAGGTAGGATGCTGGAAAAACGTACCATGCGCCACGGCGCACTGAAAGCACAGTCGGAAACAAGAAACACACGGTGATAACGACTCATAGTCGGGCAGGGAACCATGGTCAAGGAGCTTGCACGCGCTGGGGGTCCGCCCGTAGCCAACGATTACCATCAAAACGACCACGTGGGAGGCAAACGGCGGGGGGGGGNGGGGGGGGGGGGGGGGGGGGGGGGGGGCATGGTTAAACGGGTGAATGCAACGACGCAAAATTCGGACGTCATTAGGCGAGTTACGCCGAAGCATTAGGTGCTCCCCTCATAGAGCTCCACAGGGCCTTACATACACCTTGTACATGTTGGTTGTTTAAGGGGAGGTACCAAGAACAACGGTCGTTGGTTGCGCGACTTCGCCCAGGAGTGATGCGTCAGATCGGGGGGGTGGGTGGGAGTGAGGGGGGGAGGGGGGGGCGCACCAAGGGCGGTGGGCCAAAATAGCAAAGGGGAAACCAACCGCGAAGCATAACACTCGAAGAAAAAGACTCACCAGGTGCGCGTAAGCCTCTCTCCTGCTCTCCCCTCTGTCCGCAGACACGCCTCCCTCATTGTGCCTCGGCGTTGATCGGGGGGTTACATAAATACCGCCGCCACCCGCGCCCCCCCCGCCCGCGGGGAAACTGAAGCCCGTCCCTCGTTTGCCGTGCTGTGGGGTGCCCCCGGTCCCATGGCGCGGAGTGAAATACATTTCGTCCCCTGCGGGAAGGAAAAAAAAGGGGGGGTCAGTGGAGAAAGGGGATTATTTACCACGGGGTATCCTCTGCGTACACACTCTTGTTCTTTTCGCTGGCCACTACGGGCAGCCCGGGGTTGGTGTATCTCGTAAGTTATGGAGTGGCTAGACTGCCACAGGTCACAGCCGGGGGCCGTGTTTCGCTTCGCCTGCTTCGGTTGTCCAGCCTACTTGTGTGTGCGACCAGACGAAGTTATTGTGGCTGCGCCACCCTTCACTCGATTTCGTTTTTCCACTTCTTGTCCGAGACGAAGCGAAAAACACCGCCATTGTGACCGTCAAGTCACGTAAGTGCAAGACCCATTGAACAGCCGGTAGTCGCGAACGGGAACGGACGGTTTTCGAAGCGAATCACGGCATGGCCTCAACAAGCTGAGCTGTTGAAAACGAGACTTGCTTTCAACTCGCGCCCACCAAACGCATGTCAAGCGGGTTGAAGAGGAGTGACAGACGTGGATTAGACTACAACCGTCCAAAGAGCCCAGAATAAAGCAACCCCCGAGGGTGGGTGACGGGTAATGACATCATTACTTTTGTCATCACCGTAAATCACAGCCAACAGCAATTCCGCCGGGCAGGGGCTCTAACCCGTTGCCGCATAGATGCGTTCCCTCTCCCTAAAGCCTCCATCCACCCTTCCCGCGGTGCTATTCTACCTACACTGCGCTCGGAAAAATGCCCACCTTCCGCGTTGTAAGTCTCTTCCCCCAAGCCCCCCCCCCCCCCGCCCCCCCCCCCCCCCCCCGGAGGGGTCGGAACAGTGGTAAAGTATCCCCCACCCCCTTCCGCACCGGAGCTGGGCGGCGGGGTCGACACGAACTCTTGCCCTTGACCGTGCCTCCCGCCCTCCCGCAGCGCGCCGGGCAGCGAAACGTTTCGATGCAATCGCGCGGAGGGTGGGTCGAAGTCCGCCGTCAAGGCTGCTGCCGACAGGTGGGGCTGATCCAGGAACCCCCCCCCAGCCGCCGCCGCCGACGCCGCCGCTGCCGACGCCGCCCCCATCCCGCCGATCACGACCAGGCTGCCATCATTGGCGATCGCGCTGTAGCTGTCGCAGCTCGCCGACGAGTTTCGGGGACGGTGACCCCGAACCGCCGGTACCTCGGTAAGGTGCGCGGGAGTGACGAGGTAGTTACCCCCGGCCCCTCCGCCGTGGCCAAGGACATCGTGGTGTGTTTGCTGCTGCTGCTGCGGGCCCGCGTGGGGAGCGCGGCCACCGCTGCTACCGCTGCTGCTGCTGCCGCCGCCGTTTACGGACGCGGCGGCGACGCCGCCGCCGCCGTCGAAGTAGGTGCTGTTGATGCCCGCCTCGCCCATCACCATGTCGCCATCGTTCCCACCGCCGCTACAAGACGCCGGGTCTCCTCGATAGGCCAACGGGGAGGCGGCGGTGCTGGCTCCGGTGGCATGACGGCCGCCGCCGCCGCCGCCGCCGCCGCCTACGCCGAGACCGCTCCCAGAATACGGCCCGCCCTCGTTCCGTGGCGAAGAGGAAGATGACCGCCCCAGTGACGAAAAACTACCTCTCAAACCTCCTGCTGCTTGTGAAAGAGGGGTAGCCGTAGCCGCCGTAGCCGCCGCCGCCGCCCCGCCGGGGAAGCTGGTGCCGGGAAAGCGGTGGTGGTGACGGTGGTGCTGGTGCTGCTGGTGCTGGTGCTGCTGGTGCTGGTGCTGCTGGTGCTGGTGGAAGCTTTGCTGCTGTTGTTGCTGCTGCTGACGGTCCTGCTGCTGCTGCCGTTGACGATGTCTCTGCAGCTGCTGATGTCGCTGCAGCTCCAAGCCGTCAGCAGCACGCGACAACGCACTCCCGTCGCCGCCCGCCGTCGCTTCATCATCGTACCCCGCGCCTTCTCCGCGCATGCCGCGATACGCCGGAATAATGGCCCCAGAACCCATCCCCATCCTGGAGCCTCGCGCATCCACGCTCCCCCCGTTGTCACCGACGCCCTCCAAACCGTTGCCGATTCCGTTCAACCCTGCACCGGAGACCCCCCTGAGATCTCCCCCGATGGCTGCTGTGGCCGCAGCAGCCGCTACCCCTCCGAGCATCACGCCCCCCGTGCTGCTCCGCCTCATGTGTGCCGCCGCCGCCGCGGCCGCCGCTTCCACGAGCGGGTGGGCGTGGCGTCTAGTGGCCGCGGCATCAGCGGAGCCGCCGCTGCCGCTTGGATCTCCAGACGTCAGGCCGCTGCCTCCGCCGCTGCTCAGTGACGCCGTCGACGAGCACGACGTATCAGCGAGCGACACTCCACGACGCGGCTGCTGGTACTGGAAGGCATTACCCGTGCCAGGATACGCTACTATTGCTGCCGCTGCGGATGACGAGAGTGATTCCACGAAACCACCACCACCGCCGCCGGCCGCGGAAGAACAAGTGATTACGGAGGATCTCTCCGGGGAAGGGCTTATTCGAAACAGCTGTCCGCTTACTCCGGCGACCCCCTCCCCCATGGACCCAAACCCTGCCCCCCCTCCACCTTTGCCTGATGCCGCCCCTGCGACTGGAACAACAGACATTACCATGGCCCCTACCGACCCGCCGTCAGCAACCCCCGCCTGCTGCTGCTGCTGCTGCTGTTGCTGAAGCGGAAAATAGTACTTGACAATAGGTAAGGCGGAAGTAAGACAGAGGAAAATAAAAGTAATCATGGTCAGGTTGAACGATCGTGTGCTCCTGTCTTGAACAGGGCAAGGCGCGCACGCGTTATAAACTGAGCACCAACTTGAGAGGCTATATCTTCTGTATACAGCATCAGTCACCGGGAGATCAGTATGTCGGTGTCACCTGCTGTTGCTGCTTCTGCTGTTGTTGGTGGGCCCTCTTACTACCATAAAACGGCCCTTCCGCCCCCCCGCCTCCGGACACAGATTCGACCATCATCATCTGCTGCCGTTGCTGTTGCCGCTGCTGCTGCTGATACAGCAAATGCTGTTGCTGTTGCTGCTGCTGCTGCTGTTGGAGTTGCAGTTGTCGTTCCAAGCCCGCCCCTTCCCCGTCAAAAAGCGGTTGCTGCTGGTGCTGGTGATGGTGGAGGCCTTGGAACCCTCCTCCGGTCACAACCCCCATCCCTAGGCGGTGATTGTGATGACCTTCGAGCCCCGCCGACAACAGACCCCCGCCCCCCCCCCGCATCCCAAGACCTCCAGCCCCTGGAACCCCTTGCTGCTGCTGGGGGGCCACTCCCCCCGCCGCCGCTGGGTGCAAGAGGTTTCCCCGCATGGCCCCGGGGGTCACCAACTCCGGACTGTTCGTGTGGGTGTGGCTGCTAGCCGCCGCCGCTGCCGCCGCCGCCGCCGCCGCCGCTGGCGTGGACTTGTTCGACATTGCCGCGGGGTCTTCGAAGCTGCCGCGAGACGTTTGCCATCCGGAAGCGTATCCGGCGGGTACGAGGCCTGGTGATGACATAACCCTGGAATAGTACATCATTGTTTCGTTTGTCGGGAAGGGGTGTGCGTGAGAAAAAAACACACATGTTGTTCGCGGCAACAACAACGAAGAGAGCTGGAATGGACCTGCAGTGTGACGGCTGGATGGTTGGGCGCGTGCGGGTGCACGATGAGAGCACTTCTTGGGCGCCATCTCAACGCTCGTGCGTGTACGAAGCAAGGTTTGGTGCGCGGCTATCTATCTCTCCACAACTCGCAACTATGCTCGCGGGACAACCGGTAACGATGACCGATGGACTCCGGCGACAAAAAATAGGTCCAACCAACAGCAGTCCCGACCAGCAGGAGCATACGATGGACCTTGAGCCGGGGACACATGCCCCGACAGCAAAGACAACGACCAACCCGCGGAATCACGCTTCCTTGAAACTACCATGGGAAGAAAATAAAGCACGTGAACACGACCCCGTACTTGAACCTCCTCCGTGGCCAATACACTTGCAGGGCGAGTCTGACTACTGGAACGCCTATTCGCCTATTCTTGTCTCCTAGAATACACAAGACTGACGTCTTTTGTTTTTGGCCGCCGGTCGGCATGGTCGACGCACACAACCACACACTACATGCACACGTGGCGAACTAACCGACCCCCCTTCCAGGATCCATTATTTAGCCGCTAGCGCTGAATCTGTACATGGATCAGCCGATTAGCGCGGTCCATACCAAACAAAGAACGCACACAACTATTGCGCCCCCCATGTCCGAAGAACCCTTTGATGACAACGCGCGTTTGCGTGTATCGTCCCGCTGGAAGACTGGCGTCTATTCTTTGGTCAGCAGTAAGCTAGCGCGGTCGATGCTTCAAAAAGACACACACATGCATTGGTCAGCCGGTTGGCGCGGTCGATGCAAACAAATAATACACACACAGCACAACGCGCGAGCCTCACCGACCGTCACGCGCGCCGTCCTGCAACAGCGCCGACGGGGGCTGCTGGCTCTTCACCACGGCCCCAGAGCAGCCGCACGCGGGGCAGTTGGAGTGCTCCCCGAGCCTCTCCCGGTAGTTGCGGTACTCCTCCGACGTGACGGCCAGGTTGAAGTCCAAGCCGAACAGGAACACGATCTCTAGCGAGTTCATCTCCGCGCACGGGACACCTCCCACCTGAAATTGGGTGGGGGGGCGGGAATGACGGCGCGCGGAGGTGGGGGGAATGGACAGTAAAAGCGGTGTGCAGGGAGCTCATGAACACACCAAAAGTACGCCTGCCTTACACCGATAGTATCGGCGGGGGAGGGAATTTCCGAAGCCGTCACTTCAGCAACAAGACTACCATTGCTTACGTGGAGGCATGCCATCAGGGAGCCAGCGCCCCGGCGGAGGTTATCATGCCGCGACAGTGAATTGGCGTAGGGAGGCGGTCAGGGTGTGACCGTGCTTGCGATCTTCTGCTACCTTTGCATCTTGACGCCTTCACAAGCACGCCTACTGCTGCTGTGCGTCGAAGACGGCATGCCGCGCACCTTGGCGTAGTAGGCGTTGTTATAGTACTGGTCGTCGAAAAACTTGGCGGCGACCATCACACTCGTGATGGCCACACGGTGGACATTGAGCGCGGTGAGCGCGAAGTCGTTTCGCTGGATGAAGCGGTCCATGTAGATTAGCCCCAGCACGAAGCACTCGTTGCTGCAGCTCGAGTACTTGAGGATGCGGTCAAGATATCTAGGGTGATGAGAGGGAGGGCGGGGGGGGGGGGGGGGGGNGGGGGGGGGGGGGGGGGGGGGGGGGGGGGGGGGGGGGGGGGGGGGGGGGGGGGGGGGGGGGGGACGCAGAACATTTTTAAGGTCGAAACAGGTGACGAAGACAAACAGAAAAGGACCAGTGCGTGCGTGCCACCTCCAACAGGGTGGAGGAAACCGCACATCCTGCAACAGTCTCCTATCCGACACTCCGTTGCAGCGGTCTGAGAAACAAACACGACGTTCTCATTGTGCCTGTCTTTGCTTTGCCTCTAGAGCTACATCGAATGGAGGACCTCGACGTGCAAGGAACATCATCGGCTGGGGAGGGGGATGCTTTCGCGCTTGTCGTTACAGCCAGCTCCGAAAACCACGCTGGCATGTGCATAGTGGCGGCAAGCACAACAGCCCGCACCACCGCCCCTCATAGCAACAGCCGCAAACGCGCTCCCTTGTACGGCGTACAGCACAAAACATCAAAACACAATCTTGGATTGATCGAGCTATCGCTAACAAGCTGTGATAGCTCACTCTGCGACGCCAATACCAGGAGGCCTCAGGGCGTGAAACTTGGTGACCGCACCCGCCTCCAAGTGGTCATGCTGCACAGCCAGTCACAGGAGAGAGAGACAGCGAGAGACAGAGAGACGACCCGACGTTCAGCAGGGACCGCACTTGCGTATCGAGGCAACGAGTGGGCCACCCAAAAGACCCACCGATTGCTACGCAATGTTCGCGCAAACGCATCACAAAAAAAAAACCACGTTCGCTTCAGGGTACGAAGAGAGACGCGGACAGCAAAAAAGGAAAATTCCTCCTCTAACCATACGCGAAATGCACGACAAAAAACATGCTTCCAAGTAAACACTACCGAAAAGACAAGATGACCAAAATAACGGTGGTACTTCAGATATCTTCGAAATGTAAAATTCATCCTGGGGTGGGGGGGGGGGGGGGANGGGGGGGGGGGAGAAGACATAATCAAATGCAAAAAAACAAACGACAGAACACGACACCTTGCTCGCTCACCCCGCTATTTGCGTTGGCTTGTATGAGCTTCTCGAGGACGCAGGCGAGGACCGTAACAAGCGCCCTCCCCTCCGACACCTGCTCGGGCGTGCTCTCCATGGCGTCCAAGGTCTAGAACAAACCCCGCAGCGTCTAGAAGGGGCGTTCCCGCCCCCCCCCCGCCCAAACGCCGCGCAAATCACTTCCCAGATCTCCCGTGTCAACAAAGCGTCCGGTGCGATCGTTCTTGCAAACGGTATGGCTGGATATAACCGTGAATTGACAAAAAAGCAACCGCAGTGCTCTTGCAAAAAGCTCTGACCCAGGCGTGTACGATATAATTGTGCTCTACTCTTCCTCCCGGGAACCGTCCAACTGGCGGGGCCAATCAGAACACGATCTGAAGGAGCAAGCCAACGAGTGAGCCCGGAAACGAGTCGACTATCCTCGTTACCAAAACGAAGGACACTACAAAATACTTCCTAGATAAACAGAGGGCCGAAAAATCGATCAGGGCAGACCTAACCCCCCCCCCCGGGAATAACAAATAACCACACAAGAATAGACCCGTCGGGAATACCGCCACACGGCGGGCCTCTCGTTTCAAACCAAAACACGCAACCCTATCCGCGGGCGCCGGGGGCTCTGCTGCCGCACGCGCGCCCCGCCCCCTTCTCTACCCAGTCAACCGTTCTCCGCAATCTCCGAAACCCTTGCTTTCCTTGTCTTCGCGTTGGCTTTGTGCAGGGAGCCTCCTGCCCAACGCGTCAACAGCGCAGAGAAAACACAGTAGGGGCCACCGTGAAGCGGGAGGGGGGCGGGGGGGGGGNTGGTAAGGGTGTAGAGGTGTAGGTGCTGGAGCAGCGGGAAATACGAAGCTATCTTGAACAATAAAAGAAGGCACTCTCACTGGCACATGAACGAACGTTGGGGATGGCGGTTCGAGACACACCGCGCGCGATTCGGCAAGAAATTAACACGCTGGGTGCGCTCTGTATTTTCGGCTCACGGTTGAAGTACAAGTGAAGAAAGAACTGATCTCGGTGGTGGGTGCGGCGGAGGGCTTGAGCTGCTCGCGCGTGGTGCACGAAAGAGGGACGGTGGCACATGATACTGCTCCTGCTGTTCGCGCACCCGTTCTCACTCAAAACCCCTCAATTGTTGGAAAACACAAGCTTTGCTGAGGCGATGAAGCGCGCATCAGACTCGTCGCCGAGAGGGAATCGGAGACTGTTTGACTACAAGGTTGCGAACACTGCGACACTGGAAGCAACACTTGTCGCTGCAGAAGGGTGGTGGCGAGACACTCGCCTACAAGAAAAAAAAAAAATGTCCCGCGGAGGATATCCGCAACTTTATAGCGATCATTCCACCACGTCTCCGGCACTGCTTAAATACTGCTGCTGCTTGCGGAGTCTGTCTGTCTGTCTGTCGTATGGTCTTGTTCTACTCCACCGCGAAACACAAGGTTCGGTGGATTGAGACAACATTCCTGACAAGGGCCGGTGCAGGTCGTTGGACTTTTGTCGCGTGGAGAGCTCTCGACGAATTCTCGTTTCCCTCGTCAACCGTCAAGTCGACTGTGTCAAACCAGAGAAGACGGGGTGTCCTCGGGCTAGGTACCATTGCTGCTTCGTTGTATTCTACGCCAACGAAGTGTCCGCTACAAACTAAAATCATTTAAATGGATCAGAGGGCACAGCTCTTGTTACGGGTCTGGTTGGTTGACTGGGCGGCCTTTCATGAAAACGCCGCCAAGGATCTTGGATGCGGTGGGATGATCCTCACCTTGCCACCAACTTGGCACGTATGAAGTTGGAGCTCGGGTCCTCACGGTAAACGCTAACCCCACACATATACTGTACCCGAAACCTCCTTTCATGCTCGAAGAGCTTACACACCGGCCTTAATTAGCCCAGCCGTGCGTGGACACCTTCTTTCAAGGCAATCAGGTTGTTCCACAGCATATTTCAACCGCTCTCCAAGAGTGAGCAGCTTTTCCGTCCACGACTGCTGTAATGAATGTGCCAGACTAAGTAACATGAGCGGGGCAGGTCAAAGACTATCATCACAAATTCCCACACGTACAAACAGTAGTACCTTTGCGAGACCAGGTCCCCGCGTGGTCTGCACGCACCGAAATTGACCGCGACCGTATGCATATGCTAGGTATTACACAAGACCCACCTTGCCCGGGAGTAGACAGTTAGTCCCTCTGCTGTTAGATACGTATCACACTAAGGCGCTTCCGCGCAACTCCTCCGCCCGGCAGCAGTTTTCCACCCTTGCTCTGCTATCCGGTGGTAGTGCGACTCCCCGCTCCGCTACAATGCACAGATCCCTCCTTCGCTGTGCCGGTTCCAACCAACTCAAGTCCCTTATGGCCGGCGACGTGTTGTATATGCAGGAACTGTCACTCGCAGATCGAATCCCACACTGCTTCTCGAAGGCTGCCTGTTGGTTCCCTCCCTCCTTTTTTACCGCCGCAGCACTACACACCGGCGTGCTGGAGCTTGAGATAAAGCTTGACCACCGATGCACTTCGGAACGCGCCCGTCTTGCCCTGAACCGCACACAGAGGCAGAGTGCCGGCTGCTGCTTGCTGCTGCCCACCCGCCTTCGCGAATGGATGTGACTGCTCTCTGTATGACGTAGTTTAGGCCCCTCCCCCGTGGTACCTTAGCGGCGCATAGCGGTGGCGCGAGCCATACACGCCCCCCCTTCCCCCCCCCCCNGAATGGATGTGACTGCTCTCTGTATGACGTAGTTTAGGCCCCTCCCCCGTGGTACCTTAGCGGCGCATAGCGGTGGCGCGAGCCATACACGCCCCCCTTGCCCCCACACCCCCGGACATCATGCAGGCTTTTGATACCCACCCGATCCCTGACAAAGTGCCCCCCCTCGCTGCTGTTCGCCACATTGGTAGTAGAAAACAAGACGCAGTACAGGGTACGTGCGAAGGGCGTGGACACAAACGGAGAAAAGCTCAAGACACACAAGAGAGAGGATGTGTACTCCGTACGCTTTTCGGAAAAGCGACGATGGCTGTGCATCGAAAAGGTGCAACGCACTTGCGAGCGTTCCTATGACGTCCCCTCATATCAGGTCGTACCCAAGGCCACAGGAAGGAACAGATACAGCACGCTCGGAGTGCGTTTGTGAACAGGACGCAGTGATTTTTCCGTTCACTTCTCGTTTTTGTCTCCATCAAAACTTTGACAGACGAGCAGGCAACAGACCGAGAAAGACAAGGGGCGAAAAAATGTGCGATCGTTAACACTCACGAACTCTCCACGCCAAATGATGGGCTCTCACCCTCACACGCGTAACAACCATGCGACGCCCTGTCCAGCGCTTTTGGTGAAATCGGCTCCGTCACTTCAGGGCCAGAAGGTGTGTGCTTCTGCTGCCCCTGCCCTGCGCCCTCCGGAACCAAAAATGCAAAAACGAACGCAAGGAAATGCTCCTGCGGTGCTGCTGCTGCTGTTGAAGAGCTTCTCTGTCCTCGAAAGGCACGCACACACAAAGGACCACACACAAAAGCCGCCGCAGTCTCTTCTCCCTCTCCTCCTTCCTTTGCACAGACCGCCACCAATAGGGCTTTTATACCTCTCCCAGACGATGTTTCACTGGACGTTGGCGGCGATGGTGACGTGTAGCTCTCGTCCTCCACATAAAAAAAGATGGTACACGGACAAGGCTGGAAGGCTGGTACTAAAAGAGCCAGAGACCATCAGGTACCCTCCTTGGGTAGTCAGACGATCGTTGGTGTATTATCTTAAAAAATCAACAACACCAGCTTTCGGGGGCTCCGTAGATATATTGGAGTTCGAGTGATGAATGTTTGGACGGGGAGGGAATGTTTTGTCGCCACCCCTGCAACTATTCCCGCCCCTGAATGTAGCCTGCTACGTCGAAACCTGACAGTCCCGCCGCACTGCGATGTGTCGCGGTGTCGTCATGTCGCGACGTCGTCCTGTTGAGTACACCACACCGGGCAACGCTCCGTTGCTCTGGAGTACACCCCAAGCCCCAACACCACAGTTGCCACACGAAGAAGTGAGTTTCACCACGACGTAAGGCGGGACAGGTCTCCAAAATACACACCACACGCGCTTCAGGCCCCCACGCCGGATTGCCTGTCCGCTACTGGCGCCTATCGATGGTCGTAGCTCCTCGTTTTGACCAGTGCGCTCGGTGCCAGGAGCAGCGAGAGCGTGTGAGAGATCCACATCACAGAAGTGGCCACTGTCAAGGTGCCAAGCGCTGTTTGCCACAGCAGCAACGAGGACATCTACAACAAATACCGCTGCAACCCAAACATCAACAACACGAAGAGTTTTTGCGGGCACATCCTCCCCGTCCTGCTGCTACCGTCACCGGCGGCTACGTTCGGCTCCTCAGCCGAGCAGCGTTGGCCACCGCGACGATAATGCTCGCCCTGCACCCTCGACTCTGTACAGCCTTTTCCTCTACCACCATCGCTGCCGCCCGGTTGCCGCAAAGCCGCAGCGTGGTCCCGCAAGGCGTCCGGCGCAATGCATACAGAGGGGGAGGAGTAGGCAGACATGGAGCGGCGGCCGCCGCGGTTGCACGGAAGCCCTCAGTCCCGTGGGTCGCGGCGCTACGTGCAGCAACAGGAGGTGGTGCCGCTACCGATGCCACCGCTCCGCTCAGTTCAGTGAAGGAGACTGAAGCGGGGGAGGACACAACAGAGCCTGGCGTTGACAGCGGAAGGTTAGAGATGGCATGAACGAATTCTCATTTTCAAATCTCCGCATGATACACGCTTTTGGTGGGAGCATGATTGAATTTCCAAGACTACACGGCCTTTAGCGTGTGGGTTGACGTTCGCGGTTTTCGTTCTTACCATTCAAGGGGCACAAGCTTTCACGCTGACAGTGCTCTCGTGTCAGGCTTCCATACGAATCGGCCGGTATGTTGGTGCTGCAAATTATCAGCGAAGCTGACGTAGAAATTGATAGTGTACACGTCGCATACTACGCATGGTCGCATGCGCTGCGGTGCAAACTCCATCAACGCCATCTTTGCCAGGAAGGCAAACCTTAACTCTGTGTTTCAACGCGTTTGCAGAAGTGCAAGGGCATGAAATGGCATGTTCACGTACGATGACGAGCTCTCGCTCCCTTCCAGTCGTTTTTGATGCGTTCTGTGGATATGAAAATCAGCCAAAAGCGACCACTGTTCGACCTACTGGAAACGTTGGAAACTCTCTTCCTTTCCCCTCCGGAGCAGCGGCGGCAGGCCCGTGGAAGAGCGATATCTAATGCGGGAGGAGAGGAAAAGAAGGAGGAAGCTGGCCCGGGACGCCAGAAAGCTCAACGTTGGCAGGTGCGCATGCTCTCTCGGGCGCGATTTCCATTTTCTCGCCCTCCGAGGTTTTCCCCCGTATTTTTTGTCACCGCTCGAGTTGTCACCTTCGCCAACGGGCTTACAGGCTGTATTCTTCGTTTCTGATCCATATGGTACCCGCCTGGGAGCTGGCCGATAGCATTCGCGTGGGTATTTGAACCGGGCGCTGTTTGGAGGGTTCGTGGTGACATTGCGGATATGATTGCCCGACTTTTTTTATCGATGTTCTTGTGGTGGTGTTTCGTGTCATGTGTACGGTGTTGCGATGGCAGAAAGACCGGTCAGGATGCCCGAATTTCTTCAAGCACGGCGGCGGCGCATCGTTGCTGGTGTTGCTAGCGTTCTCGCCCCGGTGGCCCACGCACACTAAAATGCCAAGGGCACCCAGCCACCGGCCTGGCGATTGCCAACCTCGTAGTTGGTTACAGCTCAGCCCTCGTTCTCTTGCATTTGTTGCGCGGAAAGTCAGTGCTGTCTTTTCTTCCCGGGGCGTCTGCCCGACAAGCCAGCACTAATTAGCGTGCATCACCGGTGTTGTATACCTGTGCTATATTGCTGCTGTGCGTAAATCCTCCTCGGTCGCGTTTTCGAAAGGGCCAAGAGCGTCCGACGAGCGGGGACGCCCACGGAGAAGGTGGGTCTGGAGGCTCTCCACCCCCCTAAGGGGCCGCCGGGATCGGGCGCGCCTGCCCTCTCCGGCCTCCCAGATATGTCGAAGCCCTTCACGGTTCTCGGGATCGAGACGAGCTGCGACGACACGGCGGCGGCGGTGGTGCGCTCCGACGGCGCCGTGCTCGGGGAGGTGTGATTTTTTTTCTTGTGCCGTACACATGTTGTTGTTGTTGTTGTTGTTGTTGTCGTTACAATATAAACCGTTCCGACATCTCTATCCAGCACCTTCATCTTTCCGTTTTCATCTCTTTTGTTCATGAGACTGTCTTGCAGCAAAGCTGCTGCTCGTTCGACGAGGAGTGGTTTTTTGATTCGACCAGGGTGGGGCTAATGGGCGCGTCTTTGGGCAGTTAGGGGTCTCCATTCCTCTCCGTGCTTACGGTATTGCTGGCCGGCTGGGCGTCGATACACCCCGTCCTGACCAAGCGGAGAAAAAAGTTCAACGTCAACGGTACACTAATTCCCTGACGTGATGTAACAAACGCCGCTATTATTGTCGCATCCGCGTGGCGTTTCACAAGGCCAACCGCCATGCTTCTTGCGGCGACACCGTTGGAGTCGTGGCCTGCTGTGTTCAGTACACCCCCGTAGAAATCCGCGGGGCCTCTGCGCGTAGCTTGATGGTACCTGAGTTTTTCTGCGGAAATGTCGGACCCCTTTTCCGACAGGCGATCGCGGGGCAAGCGGATGTCCACGAGGAGTGGGGAGGCGTCGTGCCCGGACTGGCGAGGGACTCGCACGCGTTGAAGATGGACGGGGTGGTCGAGAGGGCGCTGGAGCAAGCGGGGCTAGGTTCGGCGGCCGAAGTTGATGCTGTTGCTGTCACCGTGAGTACTACCGCTGCTGTGTTGTCGTACGCTGACGTCGTGTTTTTCAGTCACGGTCTTGCGGGCGGAGATGCCATGGGCATCGGTCCCGACCATAGCGGTCGGAGGAAGCCAGGAGCTCGTTGGTTTCTGTGGGCTGCGCCTGTCTTGTCGTCCTGTGTCGCTTAGGTTTGCTGTTGATGTGGAAGGTTCCAGAATTTTTGGCAGGTGTTACCATCTGTGCCGGGTTTTGTTCTCGTTAGGGAGGTGTTCTTTCGACGTCCGTCCGTGGTTTCGCGTCGACCTTCTCTGTCTCATACTGCGTTCTTTTCGATTGGCCACGCAGGTAGGGCCCGGGCTGGAGATCTGCCTGCGGGTTGGCGCGGACAAGGCTAAGGCCCTCGCCGCTAAGTACGGAAAGTGAGTCTCATGGGGGATGTCTCTCGACGGGTTATTCGACATTTTTTCAGAAGTTTGTCGTCTGTTTGGATAAATGTGGGTGCGTCCTTTGCTCATCGCCCTATCGTCGTCCTTCGCCAACGTTCATCTTAGCGGCGGCTGTCGCTGCTTGTATTTCTCTCTCTCTCTCTCTCTCTCTCTCTCTCTCTCTCTCTCTCTCTCGTTCTATCTCCCTAAACCTCCCTCTTAATCTCTCTCATCTGCTTGTTAGAGTGTTGAATGTTCTCTCCTGTCTCCTTAGCCAAATAGCTGCTGGCCCGCCCACAAATGCTTGCTGGGGGTATCCGCCTTTGTGATTATTTTTTTTTGGCAGGCCATTCGTGGCGATTCACCACCTAGAGGCGCACGCGCTCCTCGCCAGAAAACCTTTCACCGAGACGCGGGCGTCTTCTCCTAGCGCTGCTGCTACGCCTGCTTCTGAGGCCGCTCCGGCTTTGCGTTCGATTCCTCGCGCTAGCGACGTGTCTGCGGCAGCCGCAGTTGCGTCCTCGGCTCCTTCCACGTCTGCCTTTGCGACGGCTTTCACGGCCGCTGTCGCCGATGTTTCGGCCTCTTCTGCTGCCGCTGACGATGTGGCGGCCGCTCCTTCCGCTGCTAGCGACCGCTCCCCTGCTGATTCTGCTGGTCCTGGCGACGTGTCCACCGCTGCGGCTGCTGCTTCTTCGGTGCCGTCCGCGGCCGCTTTTTCGGCCGCTTTTTCGGCGGCGGTTACCGACGTTTCCTCCGCCAGCGGAAGGGCTGCCAGCGGCGTTGCTCCTCCCGCTGCTGCTTCTGACTCAGAGCCTCCTGCGTCTTCTCGCAAGGGTGCCACCGGCGGCGGCGCCTCTGCGGTCGAGGACGATGGCGATGCCGGAGAAATGCCTCCGTTGGAGTTTCCGTTCTTGGCGTTGCTCGTCTCAGGGGGTCACTGCCAGCTCCTGCTGTGCGAGGGTGTGGGTGTGTACACGGTGCTGGGCGGCACGGTTGACGACGCCCTGGGAGAGGCTTATGATAAGGTGATGGTTTGGGTTCTGCTCGTTGAAATGGTCGAGTTGCTCATGTTTTTGTGCCGCAACATCTGCCGCTGTGACTCGATGTTTTGGTTTCGAACGGCCTGCTATATGCGCGCCTAAGAGCTGTATTGCCCATACACCTTCATCAAGATGGGTGGTACTTACTCGTGTTGTTGACCTTCGCTTTTGGCCCTGTTCAACGGCCGCCTTCTTCGGCTCCACGCACATGCCCGTCCATGGCGGAAATCTGGATATCGAGAGGCGGATACCGTTGTCCGATTAAAGACCTTCACGCGGCAAAGGTGGCGTTGAATCTATCTCTGCAAAGTCTACACATCCCTGTGTTTGTTCTTGCATGGTTCGCCCTTTTTTTGTTTCAAAGGCGGCGCGACTCCTCGGCCTTCAAGTCGGCGGCGGCGGAGGCCCAGCAGTGGAAGCTTTAGCTCGAAGGGGAGACCCTTCTGCCGTCCCCTTGGCAGTCCCGATGCAGGTATATAAGACGACAAGGCTGGTGTAGCTGTGGATGACTATTCACGCTGTGCGAGACGGTTGTGTTCGCTGAGACGAAAACGACAATAAACCGATGTAAAAAGCCGAAAGTAACGACCTTTGTTTTCCACCAAATCAAGCCGTCAAGTGCTGTTCACAAACCCAAGCAACACAGGGCCTTTTATGGTGTCGCACGTATTTGTTGCTGCTGTACCCTCATATTTCTTGTTGCCAGTCTCGGAAGGATCTCGACTTCAGCTTCGCCGGTCTGAAGAATTCCTTCCGCATGGCCGTTACCAAGACCGTCGAGGAGAACGATAAAAGGACGCGCGAGAACAAGCGGCCGGGGGCCACGCAAGTCGGGGGTTGGGGAGACGGGGGCGACGCCGAGGTACACACTCACATCGATAACATTTTTTGTGATGTTGTTTGGTGGCTTTCGCCTCGCTTCTTGTTCCCTTCGTTTACGAGGGGTGGGTGAGTCAAGCGCGTGTATACGTGCTACTGTAGCTCTCGGGCAGGATTGGGGGGGCGGGGGGGGTCCCCTCGCGTCCGTGCTTGATTGTGCAATGGGTGCGTGGCGTGATCCATGGGCGTGGTGTTTTTGGGTGTGTGCTCTTTGGTGTCGAAGCCCCCTTCGTTTCGGCGGGAAACTTCGGAAGGCGTTGCCCGTCATGAAAACACAAAACGAGGCAGCCCCACTTCCCTTTCGCCACTCCCTGGACGAAACCGCCAGCTTAGGGATTGCCTGCGGGTGCTGTTTGTGGCCCTGCTCGCACGAGTGAGCTCACTTCAGGCCTTGATGGACGAATGCCAGGCGGCCGCAAGCATTGTCGCCGTTCATGCCGTGGAAGAACCGCAGCGGCCACATTTTCCACACGGATCGTTTCGCCCAAAGGTCGAGACAACCCACCTCTGTTCCCCTCTGGAACCCTGAGTGTTTTTGTCACGGCGCTCCGGTTGTAGCATGTATGTGTGCTTACAATCAGGTAAATGCTGCCAGGCACGCCGATAACCTTCTTCACCACAACTTTTCATCGCTTTTCGTTTGCTGCAGCTGGGCGCAGCTGAGACAGAGAAGGACACGGGCACCGAGGGGCTTGGTGGGGATGAAGTTCTCTCACCGACGGCGTCGATGGAGAGGAGAGGGTGAGGATGGCCAGCAAACGTACGATTAGTTTAACTCTACGCGTCTCGAGATGTTCAGCACGATGATTGAATCTTATCTGATCATCGCACCATGCGAATGAAACTAGGTTGTAAGCCCCCGCAACACGCCATAGGTTTTCGCGGAAATATTAAATTGACTACAAGAAGTCCCTGCCTGGGTAGCTCTTGACCTTCACCCCGTGCCTCGACAAATTTGATGCGCATCGGCACGCAGTCTCTGACAATGCGTGAACTGAAAGCGACAGGGTGGCAATACCACAGAGAACAGTTGCTGGAGGATCTTGCTCGTCTTGAGCGCAACAACCTCGACCTCCGAGGCGTAAGCCATGCATGTAACCAGCCGTATGTCGAATATCCATCTTCCCATGCAGGAAATGCTTGAGCACAAACGCCGGAATCGTTGAAAAGGATCGTATCCCTGACACAAGACACCACCCTTTCGAGACCAAATCGCATAGAAGTGCGAAATAGAGCACTGGCCGAAAGCCCCAAACGAAAACGGTCGAATAGTCATCTGCAGCGAAAGCGTTAGAATGTGCCGCTTAAAATATCGTTGTGCACGCTTGCCGCTCCCGTTACACGCTCTTGTCACGTTAGAAGGGCCTTATTTTCTATCGCACTCCATGTTTCGCCGTTTGCTTTCGAGCTCGAACCGTTATACCATCGACCACGTCTGTTTTATCGATCTTGATACGACAACGATAAAAACAGGGCGGCTTTGCCAGAGCCTGTGAGGGCCGACCTCGCTGCGTCTTTCCAGCACACCGCCATCCGGCACCTCGAGGAACGGGTAAGGAGGGCGATGGACACGTGCGAGGCGATTGTTGGCAAGGTCCCTCGACGTGGCGTATCCTCCCACCAAGGCACAACACCAGAGGGGCCGAGACCCGAGGTCGGTGGTTGTGATTTTCTGCTTGCGTCGTTGGTATTTTTCGCTGCTGCCGGTGTTGATGCCGACCCACTGCAAGCTCTTCGGCTTAGGGCTACCCCGATGAGGTTCGTCTTGTGTTGTTGTGATCAACGTCACGCTGTGACCGTGATGGTTCGGTAGGCCTCGGGCAGAATCGGTTTTACCCCGCCCTTCCCCATCCGTGCGCCCCCTCATCGAACCACAATCTTCTACATACCGAGGCAGGCGGCCAGCACCTTGGGTGAGACGGAGTTTCAGAGCCCTGATGACCGGAAGACGGGAAAAGGGGTCGACGATAGGCCAACGCAGGAACTAAGACGGGAGAAGGAGGGGCGTTACGGGGAAGAGAGGATGGCTACGGACGGGGTTCCAGCTGCAGCAAAGGTGAAGAGCCTGCGAGCCCTGGCTGTCGTTGGCGGTGTCGCGGCGAACCAAGAGCTGCGGCGACGGTTGCAGGTGGGCGAGGCTGGGGACGGAGTGGCATGGGTGAATGGCTGACGTACGCACAACGTTATCGGAGGGCCGTGTGCACCAACCACTGTTGGACAAAGCGCGCAGTTGCGCAGCATTAGACTTTACCCACCAGTTTGCTGAAGGGAAGGTTGATCTTCCAGGCGAGACACTCTTCTTGTTTAGGGCAATTGTGTTAGTACCTCGGTGGCGTGCGCAGGCGACACCGCATATTCACACGCCCAACACGTACCTTCTCTGTCGTCACCAACCCGGTAGGCGCTATGCGACGAGAGAGAGCCGGAGGCGTGGCGGATGGTGGTGCCCCCCGCTCGCCTCTGCACCGACAACGGCGTGATGGTGGCGTGGGCGGCGGTGGAGCGTCTTCGTGAGGGCATGTCCAACGACGCCGAGGAGCAGGAAGTTTATGCTAGGCTCCCCCTCGGCCGCTATGCCGGCCACGACCATGAAGCGCCCTGATGGGTGCTTGGCGTCGCGGGGTTGATTTTGGTCGGGGTTTTTTTCGAACTGGTTCGCCAGGGTGTGTACGCTAGGTTCCCTCAAAAGGAGCACGTTGATGCGTCGATACACGTTTGTTTCGACAATCGGTTTTATTGTCGGCCTTGATTGCTGTGTTGTAACCTTGGAACTTTGTTTTGCCCTTGTTGAGGTGCATCATGTTTTCTTTATTCATCTCGACTCAAGGATGTTCTTCGCTCGAATCATATCACCGGTGCAGTCCGCCGTGTCCCCATGTCTGAAGACTGCAGCAGGATGCCACGGTGTGTGCCAGGGTTCAACTGCTTTTTGGAGGACATGTGGACAATACAAGCGATAACCTTGGCCTTTTGCCTGGTACACAAAAAATTCTGATACAAACAAGTCGACACTCACCCGCGATCTAGGTTTCGCAAATACATTTATGTACTTCGAAGTCATGACGTTTTGACTGTTTTCGGATTCCGCTCCGTAGATTTTTCTTTCGGTGACACCTCTTTTATTTATTGCCTCTACAATAGCCTCTGCTGCTCCATTTTTCGCCATGAAAAAAGCACATTCGATTGTTGGGCTCGAAGCGCGGAGGTATTAGAGGTGAACACGACTTTTTTTGTGCAAAGCGGAGGTTCACAGCAGCAACGAATGTCCCGCTCGCTTTGTGGCGAATGTCCCGAAAGATATCTTGGCCTCCCACATGTTTTTGTGTCACGAATTAGGTACAGGAAGGACATTGGGACGTGTTGGACAGTGTTGCTCCTGTCATATGATATGTACCTGGTGTTTTAGGTCAGCACCCACACATGATCCTACATGCCATGATTGTCGTGTTGCAGCACGCCCGTCACCACCCGCCCTGCCACCCCCACCCCGAAAAACACTAGATACCCGCACCTAAGGCATAACCAACGAAGAACACCATCGGATCACAAGCTGGTTCTTGTCTGAAGGCGGGATCGGCGGCCGGTGTGTTTGGTGAGGCCGGCGGGATCGGTGGCCGGTGTATGTGCTGAGGGCGCGCGGGGCGACGTGAAACGGCGACGCGCCCGCTCTTCTTCTCCTTTATGGTGGTGCCTCTGTCGACTAGAATCCATCGCCAGAGCAGCAGAGAAGCAGGTGCTAAAACATTCGTGAAATGTATATTTGTTGTATCTCTCTTCGTTCGTCTACGCTGGTGCCAGTGATTTCAACGTACAGCCGGCGCCGTGTTAGCCCTGTGGGGGGTCTCGTGTAAAAAATCGGGGTCGTATCAGCGGGGGTAGCACCCTAATGGAGGAACGTTTCTCCAGTCGCATTTGGTCGCATCCGAACGAGTGAAAAGATCTGTGGGGGGACATGATTTGGCAGTGCATACACCGGTCGCCCCGGTGGTCTAGTGGGTAGCCTCGCAGCCTACTAAGGGCCAGGTGATGGGTTCGAGTCCCGGCAGGGTGAGTTTTTTCTCACTAAATAAATCCTGGTCTAGGATGAAAGCGACGCGCTGCAAAGCTCGTTTGTTAGTAAGCCATAATCGACTTCGTAAGTCGCGAGGGAAGGGATTGCTGTACCCTTCTCGCGATAAAAACACCTCAGGCATGAACCGCAGGAGGGGGTCCAACCCCCCCCTCCTATGTGACCCCAGTTGGGTCGTCTAGCCAGTAGAAGTGGAGGATAGGGGCCAGAGGGGCAGACGGCAGAGTCCAATGATGGGAGAGAAACAAAACAAAAAAAACATCGATTCTATCCACATGCCCTGATTCGGCATGATACTCCCAATCGAATAGTTTGTATGCGCGCTCCATCGAAAAGAATAAACCTTTTTTTTTTTCGGGGGTCGCTCATTCAATGCCGCCGCTAGCCTTCTGTCTCACACACGCACCAGGCAGGGCGGGACTCGTCAACACAGCCGTTCTACTCTTCTTCTAGGGATTCTCCATCTCCACGATAGGCCGAGAGAGAGAGACACACACCCACAGAGAGAGAGTCAGAGAGAACAGCGGTTGCGTGGCGAATCCTCGTGGGTGACACATCAACACGTGAACCTGTATACCACAAAACGACACACCCGTCTCGACCGCTTTCTTTCTTTACATTCGGAACGCGCATCACCCCTCCCAACCCCAAGTAAAACACAACTGCAGCCGGTTTAGCACGGAGGGAGCAGGCGTCGGCTGGCGCGAAGCGGGGGTTGAAGCGGGAGAATAACAGGACAGCTGCTGTGGAGGGTAGTTTCCTCTGAGCTGTCGTGGCGTGGAAATCTGGAACTCGCAAATTTTGGAGGAAGAGAGCGCAAGCTGCTGCTGGTGCGCTGCCGAAAAAAGTTCTCAACCCGCGTCGGTCAACAAGCTGCCCGTTCTTCGGAGGACCACCCGCCCCGCCGGTCTCGGGAGCGACGCACACTCGACGAAAGGGGAGCTGAAGGTAACCCGAGGTGAGACGAGCGTACCGGGGTAGGGAGTTGATTTTGATGTGCGTGTCTCGTAGGTATGCATATGTCTGCCCGAGGCAACAGCAGTCAGCGATTCGGGGAAGTGCACGAAGAGCGAGCCCGAAACAGAGACTTCCCCGAGAGGAAGAGATCGCCCGCCTCTCGACACAGCAAACGACAGATAAAACATAATTTCCTCACCATTTGCATCATCTCTTCAAGGACGTATGTCGTCGGTGTGACGTGAAGAGCGCCGAAGTGAAAGTTTGTCTCGACTCGCGAAACTTGCAGAATAGCAGAGCGTGGTGGCTCACGTGTTGGAACCACGCACGTCCTTGGTTCTGTGGGCGCTGGAATGACTGAAGCATGTTTAATCTGTTCTGTAGACACACGGGTCTCGCTATTTCCGGGTCCGTGTTTTTTTCCCTACTGCTGCTGGCATGCTGCTGGTGCCCCTATGCGGCAATTTGGTTACCCTTTCATAAAAGATAAACCAACATCACACACGCGTGAGGCGCTGATGTTGCTGTCAGACACACACGCACCGAGCTACATGTACATGACTCTTCGAACGACTACAGCAGTATCATCATGGGTGATTTTTCATCGATGCATAGTTATCGCGGCAAGGCGTTTTCTCGAAGTTCGGAGAACATCACACCGCCATATTTTTGTTTCATTCATGCAGCATGCGCAACAACAGTTTCTCTTGTTTCTTCGGGCCTCTCTGCCTCTCACGCGCGCCGAGCGCCCTGTCGCTCCTTTTTTTTTTCTGCTGTCTGAAGTGGTACCATTTTTTAGTCTGTAAGCCTACGGTGAGCCTCTCAGGCAACACTTTGACTTTGGCTCAGAAGAAAGAAATTTATGCCCGACGCCCGAGGGCGGCCTCAAACTGGGGTACAGCAGGTACATGCCATCCAAGGCCTTGTATTTTTGGTCTGCCAACCAATGCATGTATGTACGCGTATTCCGTAAAAAAGCATATTTTGTTGACTTTGTTGGGTATGCGTACCTCACAGAAACAGATTGTGGAACAGTTGCTACTGCTGTGTACTTGATCCTAGTATACATATCTACGGCATAGACACATTCACAACCCCCACCAAGCTGCCGGGCTGTTCTGGATTCGTGTATAACTCTCTCTCTCTCAATCAGCCGCGCGAATCGTGCTCAACACGGGGTCACGAGCGTGGATGTGGGTGTAAGGACAACAGTCCGTATAACCCCCCCCCCCGCCTGGTGTATTAATACAACCAGTGGCGTCGCCTGTCGGTACGTATGTACTTGTAAAGGAAGGCTTGTTCTTCTTTCCTGCGTTTCTCTGATCGGTGCCGTCGACGTGCGCTCGCGGCGAAAGCAAGTTGCCTCGTCGTTCCTCAAAAGGATACGCAGCCTTCGTCCCTCCCCTGAGAGAGCACTACGGCTGTCGCTGGTGGCGCTGCTGGTTTGTACATGCACCTCATGTGCCGAGAGATAGAAGTTTCAGCGGACAAAGTGAGTTGGCCGCAAGGAAGTCGAGTGGACTTTCCGAACCGCCCGTTCTCTCGACTCTAGGACCGGCACCACTTGTACTGCTGTATCGCAAATTTGAAAACTTTAGACAGGCCGTGGAACCAAGCGTGTTTGAGCTGGAAGGCATCCATTTACGTGCGTGCTTCTGGGTGCCAGGCCAACAGGTCGAACCTTTGAACAGCCTCCCCATGCCGCAGAACAAAGAATGCTCGACTACTTTTCGACACCGCCCCATGGTGAGAAGTCAAGTAGTGGACCTTTGACTAATGATTTGCCTCCCCAAATCTACCTTTTGAAGGGGGGAACATGGGGGCGGTTCGAATGCGTGCACGCCCGAAGTCCTCATTTTTCGTCCTCGAGGATGAACCAAGCAAAAACAAGCCCCATGCTTCAATAAATGCATGCGACGAATTTGTGTCTGCGCGGTGCCTTCCTGCGGTGGAGCATCCGCGCTCGTTGTGGTAGCGTGGCGACCGCCGTGGTGACGTTGATGGCGGTGGATTTCTCTTTGACATGGGCTCAACGATTCTGTACATCTCCGTGTGAGAAGAGTCCGTTTATGTTTTCGGCGGAGCAGACCTTTCGCTCCCGACTTATGCCATCCTACAGGATTGAATTTGTTGACCCTTTTCTGCCACCTGTTCCACGCCCCTCTCCCTTCCCAAGTGATGTTACATCGTTTGTCAAGCTGCCAACCTAGCAGGGCAGCAAACTAATAAATTTGGGCAACATTTCGCAAGGAACTAGACTTCTGGGATAACCGGCCGTTTCGGTGACAAGGCATTGATTTAACAGTGGCGAAATCAAGGACCACCACCGTGACAGACGTTGGAAGAACAATGCAGCGTTCAGACCATAGTCCGTGAGCACCTGTATACCGTATATGACACAAGATAACACCCCCTAGACCGATTTTTCATAGCTCGATTACTCCACGACGAAGAGGATGAACGAAACCATACATTGTCGAAAAGCTTTCGACGAGACGGTTTCAACGCCGCCGTTTTCGGCGCTGTGACTGTTCCTGGAGTGGAGAAGGCGAACTTCGAAAATTGGTCAAGGGGGTGTGTTATCTTGTGTCATACAATGTACGGTAGGCGGATACGTGGGCACCACATGTCAGTATATAAGGCTTGGGGCACCTTATCTCGTGTCGGCCAAACACCCCTTTGACAGTGGCGTCAGGGGCAGGATGTTATCTCTGCAATGCCGGTCGGGTTCCGGTTACCGTACATGACATGCTACGGGGAGTGCGTCGTGGTACCCGCGTATATGTTTACGATGCTGAGCTGTCCGCTCGCTCGTATCCGGGGGTGTATGTGGGCACCGCAGTATATTAATTAGGCTTGGGGCACCTTATCTCGTGTCGGGCAAACACCCTTTTTACAGTGGCCCTTTTTACATTGGCGTCAGCAGCAGGATGTCATC